ATTTCCCCCCCGTCCCAGAGGCTAGGGGGTTATCCAAAGGCCCCACATCCACAAACTCAGATGCATAGCATGTGCTGATTAGGGGCCCTGATTCTGCCCAGATTTCTGGGTACGTGAGTGATACCGCTGGACTCAACAGGGCTGTTCAGGCGCGTGCGTTAAGCACATGCATAAATCTGCAGATCAGGCTTGTAGCTAGCAAATAAGATATACTGCAAAACAGCATATGCAGAGGGGGAGGCGGGTGGAACATGCCTGGCATCTCATGCCGTACTCCTCCTGGACATAAATCACTGAAAAATAGATGTAGCTTAGCACTAGGTTGTGCATTCTCCAAGGTTTGGAGAGTCCTGAATGGTCTCCCAGGTTTCAGAGTGTCTTTTGGACCCTGAATTCTTCTGAATTCCCTTGTCCACTTCCTCTACCCCCTTCTGGTTTCGTAGCCAGGGGTTAGCTTCAGATTTTCACCATCTGGCTCTCATTGTAAAAGAAAGAGGAGCCAACTGGAAGTGAAACAATTTCTTCCTATAAAGTCTGGAGTGGGTTTGGACACCTTCCTTTATTTAAATGACCAACAATGACTCCTCTGGAAAGAGAAATGCTGGGAGCTTGTAACCTTCCATCGTGCTACAGTCCTGCATCCAGGCTGTTCAGCCCGGATTCGAGGGGTGTGAGGATCATTCACTAGACATGCCTTGGGTGTCCTCCGGGAGCTCTCGATTGGGATCTCTCGTGGCCGTGAGAGTCTTTCCGCTGCTGTGCTACAATTGTGAGACCAGTAACTGGAGAAGGTTTAGGTGTAGATAAGAGCCCACAATGTCACAGTGGTGGTGACACAGTCGCTCTGTGTCATATGAGTACAGGTGGATTGTAAAACATAAATGTCAGTCTTGTGCTGGTGAGCCGCAGGATGCCGGTTTCTCTGGACATTCACGGGTGAGGGTGATGGGTGAGGGTTGTGTTTGGGCTCCACAAATGGGCCAGTCCTTGGGGGTGCCTGCCACTATCAGCAGAGGTGATTTTAAGGTGGGTTCAGCTTTAATAGCTTCCTTTTGTTTTTCTATTAAAAGTGACACTGTCAAAGTTCTCAGCCTCCTGCTTAAATCTGACCTGTTATATATTGCAATGCAGTTTTCCTGTTTCTGAAAAAGCTTTTCTTCTCTCACACAGAATGAACATCATGGTTAAAAATAATTCTTCTCTCGAGTAACCAGCGAACAAAAGGGATAGTTTAAATACCTTCCAGGGTACTGTGTAGATTTCTTTTCTCTTGAGACCTTAATCCGTGGTCCTGTCTGTTCTCCATCAAAGATCACACGGCACTTTTTGCGCTGATAGAGGGTTTGTCTTGATATTCTTGCCAGCTATTTTCCCTCCTTTCTCCCACTGGGAAGTGCAACAGCTGGCATGTTGCTCCCCAGAGGGAGCTGCATTATCGGTGGTGGATAAAACAGTCCTGTTATGGCTTGTAAATAGCTTTGGGATCTCCTGGCATTTAAAATACTGTACAGGAGAGGCATCAAATGGTATAATACACATAGGAGACTGACTGTGAAGGTGCGTGCTTTGTTCGCTTTGCACACGAGCTCTTGTCAGTCCGTGTGCTACTGAAGAAGATAAGGAGCTTGTTCTCTGTGCCTGGAAACCAAAATAAATGAGCTTGGTCCAATTCTTTAGACATTTTTTTTTTAAATGGGATGTGGAGAGAAGAAATAAGTGCAAAATGAAGAAGCTTGTCATGGCTTCTCATTCAGTGATGCTTGAAGGTCATTTATCCAGTGCTAGTCTGAGTGTCACGGCAAAAGGCTGCTAGTTTGGGCTCCTGAGTTCTGTTTGCAGCTCTCGGAGAGGAGTGTAGTCAGTGCTTAGAGCAGGTGACCGGGAGGCAGAGGTTTTAGGCTCTTTTCCTAGCAGTGCTGTAAACCCTATGTGATGCTGACCCCACTTGCCTGTGGATGGTGCAAACCAGAAGAGTGAGTTGTTACACTTAATGCCAGTCAGTATTCAGAACTAGTAAGCATTCACATCAATAAACCAGCATACACATCGTAACTGGGATTTTCAAAGGGACTAGAGGTCGTGTATGCTTTGTTTTTGTTTGGGACCAGCTTTAAGACTCCTTAAGGGAGACAGCTTTTTGGAGTCAAGCATTTTCTTCTGCAAATTAGGCACCTTTCAAGGTCTTGTGAGTCAGGCGCTGAAAAATTTAGTCAGTCTAGAAATGACTTGTAGAAAATAGGGGCCAGCAAGTGTTTGCATTATCAGCTGTTTCCAGATGGATGTCCTCTGCTGAATTTGACTTGTAAATCACCTCAAGCACAATATTCTTGCTTTCTACACCAAGGTGTTTTTTGTTTTTTTTTTCAAATGTATCCTTTATTGGGACCAGTGCAGGCTTTTCAGCCTTTGGTAGAACAACAGAATCTTACTAACCCTTTTTTCTCTGCCCCCTAGCGTTTCACTGCAATCAGGTGATAAAGGGCAGTTCTCTGTGAAATTGAAACAAACCTGGCAGATTTCAGCCTGGCAGAAAAATTGTAGCTAATTGGAGAACAATTCTCCTATTGTTCAAGCCTTTGCATTTTTGGGCGTCTGGAGGACTTTTTTTTTTGGAGGCCTGGCAGGGTTGAAGTGCTGCACGCTCTTTACGTTCTTACAAGAGACTGTGGCACTCATTCAATTCTGGCTTAACTCTCTCAGCATTGCCTAGCCTTCGAGATGAAGCTGCTAGTGTCTTAAGAGCAGATGCACCTTTTAGTTTAATTGTTGATGTGTCTGCTGATGGATACCTTGATGCAAAGGCCTTTATCCACTTTGGGACAGAGATCAACTAGCCTTTTTTTTTTTTGGTCCATTGCTGATTGGGAAATGAAAGTCTGTCTGTCGTCCCTTTTTACAACAGTGTGTATGTGTTAATAAAAACCATCATAAATCTAATTGAGTTTGATTCTTCATTGGTCCTGGTTTCTGATTTTTTGCTTGCATAAGCAGAGGGATTGTTTTATGTAAAGACACCATTCTCCACAGAAACAGTTGCCATCCCACATGTGCTTTAACATTTACTGATTAATTATTTACCTGAGTGTCATATTAGATATTGGAAGAATGAGGCTCTTGTGGCAAAGTCATTGGACTGTGAGATTTGGGTTTGGTGTCCTTGCTTTCCTCCTTTGCAACCTGGGGGAAATCTCTGTACCTTTGTTGTCTTTTTGTGAAATGGGGATAACATATCATTTTTCCTACACTTTAGGCATCTTCAGTTGATAGTTATTAGGGTCAGGGATCATGTATCCGAACAGCTCTCCCCTTCCCCGCATAAAAGCGTTTCTGATTTCAGGTGCAATACCGGGCATAAAAATACACTGGGGAATGTATGGTTTGGTACACGTGTGAGCTTTGTTGCATTGTGGGTACAGCAGAAGAGAAGACAGTGCACAAACAGAAGCCATAAAATGAGTTCCAGTGCATTTCTTTTTTAAGTGGAAGCAGAAATTACCATGTAAAGAAAATAATACTTGGTGCTAGTATAGTACCTATGATAGTTCTCAGACCACTTTACAAAGGCAGGTGAAGGCCACTGTCTCCATTTTACAGGTGATGGCACGTTAGCAGAGCTAAGGCTAAGTACCCTCTTGCATTAGGTGGGTACCGTGTCCTGTGAAACAGCATCCCATGGAAGCAGTGTGACAAATGACTCCTTTCCAGGGCCAAGCACCTTGATGCAGCTGTACAAAGAAATACAGGAAGGAGGTTGGTCCAGGCTCTGAGCGCTCGTTGGACTGGATGTCATTGTTAGGATCAGTGATCTGATTAGAAAACTGCCCCTTTTTATTTCCCTCTATTTTTGTTCATTCATATTTTCATGGGGCCAGCAAATATTTTCCATTGAAGGCCTATCCTGTAAGATCCAGTGGAAGCTTGCTCATTTATTCAAATGCCTGAGTGACACCACAAGCGTGGACTTTTAAAATGAGAGTGGGGACACAACAGCCATTGGTACATGCTTCTGAAATTCAATTTTATTTAAGACGATACCTCCAACATTACAGTGGCGTAATACTCCTTCGTAGTGCAGAGTGTCTCACTGCTTGCTAAATGGGATGAATCTTCTGGCTTTCTTTGGGGGCATTATTGATTGCAAGTGATGTAGAGAAGTGAGAATTAGCAAGTATCTGTTGGATACTTTTCATGAGGCAGTCAGTTTAGTTACCCTAATTCATTTTTTACCACTACTCTTCTAAAGGTGTCTTAAAGTGGGAATAATTTACACTCTAAGCCTCCTTCATATTGCCAAAGTAGCATAATAGAGCCTTAGTGTGACTAAGAACCCGGTCCATAACTGTCATTGTCAGTATTTGTGGGGCGAGTCATTCTGATACGCACAGGGATGGTTACAAATTCAAAATAACATACTTGGACCTGCAAAAGTGACACCAACATGAAACAGGAGATGAAGCATGACCTGCTTCAGTACAAGGTCCAACCTGTGCAAAAAAGAGCAAAAGCACGGGAAATATTTACAGTTCGTTTGTACACAAGTTGCCAGTCATGTAGGGAAGGGGGACTTCCAACTTGACAGTGTCTCTTTTAAAGCCTTTACCCCTGCTCCGTTTTAGGGAGCCCATAGCTTGTTTATGGACCGTCTGTCGGCAATTAGCAATTGTAATGTTTTCTCTTGTTTCCTTGCAGCACATGGTTATGAGCTTTAGGGTATCAGAACTGCAGGTTCTCTTGGGCTTTGCTGGCAGGAACAAGAGTGGAAGGAAGCACGAGCTGCTCGCGAAGGCGTTACAGCTGCTGAAGTCTGGCTGCAGCCCAGCTGTTCAAATGAAAATCAAGGAGCTGTACCGGCGAAGGTTCCCCAGGAAGATCTTAACCCCGTCAGATTTATCCATGCTCCATATGCAGACGGGGCAGCTGCCTTCTGCCACCACACTGACTCAGGGCACCGTGTGCCACCTGCCCTACGATAATGGTTCGGCAGCTTCTGCAGTGCCGACAGCGATGCTGCCTCCAGTGCCTATGCTGGGACCCAAACACGAGACAGATGTTCAGCACTTATCTCCACCCATCCACCCGGTCCATCCAGATGTCAAAATGAAGAGACTGCCCTTCTACGATGTGTATGATGAGCTGATTAAACCCACCACGCTAGGTATGTTCACAAACCAGCTTTGCTTCTCTTTTCTAGAGGGTACCTGTTGCCACTTAAGGGTATTGATGGTCTTTGAAACTACCCATTTGGTCACAGAAAGGGCAGTTATAGGTTGGCGTGCTAATTGCTTTGCTTGGGGTGGACAACAGCTGGGGGAAAAGGATGAGAAGATACTCTCCGTAGCCTATTCAGCCCTTTGTTGAGACAGGTGAGGATGTATTTTGTCATAGGGATGCCTGCGGCCCAGAATACTATGTCTGCATGTTTTCTGGGGCTGTCTTTGCACCTGTTTGCACCATGGTGATATAACAGGGCCCTGGCCACTGATTGGTATTAGGTACTACCACAGTTGAAATAAGACTGAGAGCCACCGACTCATTTCAAATAGGCCACCCAGCAGCTGTCAAAGATGAGAGCATTTAGGTGCTGTCAGCTCTGGCATATTGAAACTACAGTAATACTGTAGTGAAAACTTCACATTTCTTTTCAACCCTTAGCCAACCTGTCTGACTTCTCTGAAGCAGATAATTATCGTGTAATGGCCTCTTTTGCTGTCATCGCCTAAGAGAGTCTGTTCAGAGCTGTGTTGTAGGTATCATGTAAATCAGGCTCTGGGAGGATTGCTCAACTTCATATGTCCTGTGATCCTGGGTGAATGAATACGTGGCTCGGAGTGCCAGAGCTAGCAGGTGTGACAGTGGTTCCAGTTTTTAATATCAATTACTTTCAAATGTAACAAACCAAAATGAAAGCTGGTTGTGAACCAGTTCCCCCATCACCTTCAAGCCCAGTCCCACAAGCAGGATTACAAGTTTTCTGGCTTGTTTTCGACTTCACCCAGCTCAGCATAAGGGTGAACTCAGTAGCTGTTAACAGGAGTCATCTGAAAATCAGCAAGTAAATGAAAATGGATACATTCTTATTTATTATGGCTGTGCTGAGAGGGCCCATCTGAATTCAGGGCCCAGTTGTGCTAGGACAGCACACAAGCCAGAAGCGGCAGTCCCTGCCTAGAAGGTTTGCTGCATGAATAGACAAGAGGCAGGGGAGGCACCAAGCTTATAAGCAAGAGCGGAAACAGGAGAGGAGAGAAGAGGAGAGCTCCCTTGAGGCCACGTGCAGCTTAGAGGTCCATTTCATGCATGCTCTTTCCATTTACCACCAGCGTGTTGCCTGCAAGGCTTTGATAGGCGCTGCTTATCTGGCATGGACAGATCAATTGTGTAACTCACTGAGCTTCAGTGACTATCTCAAATTGGTGTGGAGGGAAGATAAGACTGAAACATGAGAAATAAGTGAGAACAGTGTTCCTTCCCCCTCCCCAGTATTGTCTTGCAGGGCAGGGAGGAAGCGGATAGGTCCGTGGCTGTAATTTCAGGATGTGGTGGGCCTTGCTTAGGTGTATGGGAGAGAAACGAGTGTTTGGGGCTTGTCACAGCTTTTCCTCCTTGCCTCAGTTCCTGACCCCTGATGCTAACCAGCTGGGTGATGTCAGTCATGTCAGAAAGGCTTTAATTTCCTCTCTGTGTGGTTTACTCTCCCACTTATACAATGAAGAGGGACATTATTTCCTCAAATCCAGGGTGGGCTGTGTCTTTAGGGATATTTCTGCAGCGGCTTTGCAGTACTTGGAGAAGAGCTCCTATGGGGGCTGAGTTTAATGATCACCAAAGCCTGTGAAAGCCTCCGAAGCTCATGGGTCTTGCCTCCCTTCTAGAAGCTGTCACTCCCATGGAGTGTGTTGCCTGTGAACGTTGTCATGGTGGCCCTCCAACCAAACCAGCCTAGCTTTTGCCTTTTGAAGAGGTTTTTGGCCATGTGAATACAACAGTGTCTGGTGCGGAGATGGGTGTGCCTGAGTTGGCACAACAAAACCGTATCAACTTGATCTTTTTTTTAAGAATATGTTTTCTTGCCTTTGGCTCTGCTAAATCCCTTGGGCAACCTGTGGTTGAGGATTTTTCCTTAAAAGGGATGCTCATGTTTCAGAATAACTCTTCTTTTGTTTCTTCCCATGCCAAACAATCCCCTCTGACTTCCTTACTCAAATATTGGTGCCTGAACTCAAGACAAGCTCTTCTGTATTATTGCAAGGGGTCATGTGCTTTGTTGCTCGTGCAGGTTGAACTCGTGTCCCTCTGTTTTCCCCTATTAGCTCTTTGTGTGCCACCTTCCCAATCTCTGTCTCCATGAGCTGCAGTCCCCCATTCCTG